AACTGATTCACTGGCCCAACTCTTTTTCTAATTAAGCACTTATGGAAGCCTGTGGCCAGTGTTTCATTTTCTAATAATTATGGTAATACGATTGAATAATAGTTTTCTAAATTGTGGTGGTTTTTAAGTATAATTCACTAATATAATTCAGATCACTTACATTTTTTTCACTGAAATTATTTTTAGAATCATTGTGAATAGTGGAAAAGATGGGAAAATTCACTTGTCTTAAATGATAGCCTCCTTTTTACCAGAATTTTTCTAGAAGAAATTATTTTGGTAATATAATGCCATTAAGATTGGAGTTTTCCCCCAATTTAATTTATGAATTGAATGTAATTCAAATAAAAATGAAGAATTGTGTCTGTATATGTGTATATGAAAACCTGAAAAACTGATGTTAAGTTCATGTGCTTTGTCTATGTTAACTATCCTTTATAACTTAAAAATATATAGACTTCCATTTTAGGAAGCTTAATTGTAAGAGAAAGAAGTAGAAACACTGGCAGTGCTATAAAGGTGTGATTCATTATTTTCCAGGCAGATGTTTATCAGTCTTTTGTCTGAGGCACTACCATCCTAGTTATTATGGAACCACAACATGCAATATCACTGTGGCTCTGGATCTGGCCAGTATTTTGGCCTATCATGATTGACAGCCTTATCTAATTTTTATCTTGCACAGCTAATTAGATTTCATCATTACGGCCCCAAATACAATATGGAACCCATGATGATTCAATTACTGTTTTTTTTCAGTTGATAATGCTGACTATCGAGCTGGAGACCCAAGTCAAATCCATCTCTCAAATGGTCCACTTAGACCTGCAGAAATCAACCCTTAAAGAATGAGTTTAATCATGCAATGGGATTTGTCCATCATTACAGATAATCTCATAATTGTTACCTTAAACATAAAATATAAGATTTTTTTTGCCAGAAAAGATGAGGATAAAGAAAAATTGTAGCAGAAACTGTAAGTTAGGTCCTGTTTGGCAAGCCTGAGACTTTGTTATCCTGTTAGGCCATCTCCTGGGCAGTACATCATTTTCAATTACATTCAAACTGAGCAATTGTCAATTATATCACATCAACTAGCTGTAGCAACTGGGAAGAAGTTACTACACATTTTTACACCCTTAAATAATTATGATGAGTAATATTTTGAACAGTATGAACCATAAGATTTATTGACAAAAAATCATTCATTGGCCAAATTACAAGGGAACACAAAATCTTCAGTATTAAAGAATTACTATGTAAAATCCAGTTAGAGGAGATTTGATTTAGATAAATGCCAGTTGTTAAAATGAGAAAAACAAGAACAAAAGAGATTCTTTTTCAAAAAAAAAAAAAGAGGAGAATGAAGGAAGACTGTATAAGAAGTTAAATGAGAGAAAGCTAATGAGTTAAGTTAAATGAGATACAGTGAAATTAGATAAAGGCCTGCCTTTGAATGGTGATGCAAATGAAAGGTCACCCTCTGTAGCAATGTGAGTTTCTCTGTTTATTAAAGTGCCACATCACTAAAGGTGACAATTCTCTAATAAACCTTTAATGAAAAAGAGTTCAGGTGAACTAACTTGTTTATAATAAAGTCAATAAAATGAAAATACCCCTTTGGATGACTCTGATCAGAAAGGAATAAAAAAGGAGAACAAAAGTGCTAGCTGGATAGTTCACTTGGTTAGAGTGTCGTTCTGATATGCCAAGGTTTTGGGTTTGATTCCTCATCAGGGCACATACAACAAGGAGCCAATGGATACATAAATAAGTGGAACAACAATCAATATTTCTCTTTCTCTCTCTCTAAAAATCAATAATTTTAAATAGTGTGATTTGAAAAAAAAGAACACAAGCATTACTAATTAATACTATAAAAGAGCAACTGCTGAAATACAATATAGAAAAATGCTTTATAATTTTATAGCATGGCAAATCAGAAATAACAAATTACCACTTAATGAAATCAAATGAAGAAAGGTTTGCTTTGCCGTAACTGGTTTGGCTCAGAGGATAGACCGTCAGCCTGCAGGCTCAAGAGTCCCAGGTTCGATTCTGGTCAGGGGACATGTACCTTGGTTGTGGGCACATCCCCAGTGGGGGGTGTGCAGGAGGCAGCTGATCGATGTTTCTCTCTCATCGATGTTTCTGACTCTATCCCTCTCCCTTCCTCTCCGTAAAAAATCAATAAAATATATATTAAAAAAAGAAAGGTTTGCTTTATATAATACCATCTGTCGCCTTTGGTATTAAGGTGTAAAAAAAGAAAACTTATTCTAAGGAGGAATATGTTGCATTAGGGAAACAAAGAAAACAAGACTAGACTGCAAGTTCAATTAGTAGAAGAGAGTTCTATGTGAGTTTATGTAGAAAGCATTTTTGTTTTACATCCTAAGTAGATAAAAGTTTGAAGATAGTGCTTATTTAGCTGTCCATTATTAGTAAGGGAAGGAGCGGGTGTCACCATGAGCAAAGGACATGATAAAACACTCTGTTCATTCTTTCATTTTTTCTTAGTTACTTAAACTAAGGCATAGGAACCTCCAGGCACTTTTTATTTTTTCTCACCCTTAAAATAGGACCCAACACTTCACCATATTTCTAAAACTAAAATCTAGATCTTCAAAGCGGTTGAATAGGTTTACATTTTTGTTTTGTTTTTTAAAAATGAGAGATGAATTTACACTTCCCAATACTAAGCAAACATAGATGTCTCCTTAGCTGTGCGCTAGAACTGAGATCTTTGCTGCAGACAGCTCAGCTTTTTTACCTTATTTCTAGCCCTGAGCCCTCAAGTCAAACAGCCTCTCCAACTTTTTTTTTTGTCTTAGACCATTTAGTTTTGCCCATACTTTAGTCTTACTAACATTGTACCTATCCAGCAGTTAGATGAACCCATCGCCTGGAAAACAGCTGAGTCATTATTATGTGTCACATTAACTCATCATATAGGGATCTCAGTCCTCACATTTCATGAGTGATCATAGTACACCCATAGAAACCAGGTCTAGGAGGGGAGAAGAGGTTCTGCATCCGAAAATACCAAGATTTTTCCATATTGCTCCTCATCCATCAATTTACGAAATGTTTTCTTAGTGCTTATTTTGCGCAAAACACTAAGTTAAATTAGAGACATAAATATAAATTTTTTAATGGACCCTTTTCTGGAGGAGCTTATGCAAATTGATATAAGACATTTGGGATGAAATTAGGACAAGCAAGGTCTTACTAGAACACTAAGCAGGATTAAGCCAATTCTAATTAAATATCATTTAGGAGGTAATATTTAAATTGACCTTTAAAGAAAAATAAAATATTGATGGATGGTAAGAGGAGTACCTAAGGGATAAAAAAAAAATTATTAAAAAATAAAGGAATAACATTTAAAAAAGCACAGAGGTGGCAAATAACTACCCATGTACATGGAGCTGTAAGTAATTCAATATGTTTGAAATCCATGATGAAAGATTAAATGAAATGCGTCTGAAAAATATAAAATGGTACAAGATTATGGACGTCCTTGAATGACAAAATAATGGTTTTAGAATCATTCTATAAATAACTAGAGGCCTGGTGCACAAAATTGTGCACTGGTGGGGTCCAGCCAGCCTGGGCCCGATGGCCCCCATTGTGGGTGGGGCCAGCTGGGGTGAGGGGCCGCAGGTGTTCTGGTAGTTCCACTGTTTGGTCAATTTGCATATTACCCTTTTATTATATAGGATGGAAGCCATTGGTGTTTATCAGAGAAATGAAATCCTCTCGTCCCACTTTTTAAAATTCCCATCCACTGTTTTCTTTGTTTACAGCATCCTTCCACCATTGTCCTTCAACCCCCAATGATTTTTGGTTAAGTTTATATGTTCGTTTGATTCAATTCTTATGGAAGGTGTTTCACTTCTTCTGTTAAGCTTTGTAGGACTAGTTTTTCTCAGAATAAGTTTACACTTCTCCCATCTTCCTTGCTTGTGCTCAGATTATTTTAATGATTTTTGTATAATAAGCATCTTTTTTTTCTTTAAATCTACCCTTACCACTTGACTTGTTTTCAGGGAGAATTTATCACTGGTCTTTGATTCCTCAATATCTTTCCAGCATGTTATTTTCCAGATACTTAAACAATTATAGTTGACTGACTGGTCAGCACTATGTCTTGGTAAGAAAACGTCATCCTCAGGGAAGAAGACAAAATAGAAAACAGAATAAAATTAAAGATAATAGCTACATAGTCACTGTAACAAGAGATTATGAGAGGATAAAATAAGAAGGTAAAGAGGGAAATGAAAAGAAGACCACAGAAAGAGAAAGCTGATTAGATGGAACAGAAATAGAAGGACTATTTGTGGATGAACCCAAATAATTTGGAGAAAATTTGTATTATAATGGTTTGATTTTTTGCCAAAGAAAAATATGAGTCCCCTTTTTTTTAAATATATATTTTATTGATTTTTTTTTTTACAGAGAGGAAGGGAGAGGGATAGAGAGTTAGAAGAATCGATGAGAGAGAAACATCGATCAGCTGCCTCCTGCACACCCCCTACTGGGGATGTGCCCGCAACCAAGGTACATGCCCCTGCCCAGAATCAAACCTGGGACCCTTCAGTCCGCAGGCGGACACTCTATCCACTGAGCCAAACTGGTTAGGACTATGAGTTCCCTTTGATGGTTTGTATTTAATACTTCTTTGGAGCATCCAGTTCTTTAGATATCTAGAAGTCATAGTCATTGCCCCTTAAAACAGAATGTGGGCTAGTATTTCTTTTGTCTTAAGTCTTAAAAAGTATCCTTAAGCAAGTTTGAGCTATAATACTTGAGTCCATAACAGTGAGAAACATACCAAGAGAGAAAAAGGTGCATCTCATCCTGTTCCCTAGAAAGAAGCAATGTCTAGTATTTCTCACTAATCTTAAAACTTGCGTTCAAAAGTTCAAGTTCTATTTAAATCTTACTCAGCCGATTCAAAATTAACTATATGTTGTTTCTCTCTTGCTTTCCCACAGTATGCTGTCTGGCTAATCCTCTGGGTTACGTGGAATGTGTTTGTTATCTGCTTCTACCTGGAGGCCGGGAATCTCTCAAAGGTAATTTGCCATCTGATTTGCCTGTGTCATCAATAATGTGTTACTAAGTCTCTCCCTAAGTAAGGCAGAGTCTTCACCCTGCTCTTGTGACTTAGATGTGCCTCAAATGAAGGTCAACTGAAAGTTGTCCTCATCTATATCTCTGCATTTCTACCATCGAAGATATACTTTAGTGTGTGACAAAATGTATTTTTATTTTTAAGCAAAACTAATGTGAAATATTGATTATTATAGTGACCAATGATGTCGACTTTTAAAATATTGACTGATGAGGGATTTCTGAAGCAGAATAGGAATTTTTTTTAGAGATAAAATCTTGAAGATTAATTCCCTTAGTTTGCTTATTGCTCTGGTAAAGATTTTCCTGATTGGGCCCAAATAGCAATGAAATAATTTGAACAATGAATGGGTTTTAATTGAGTACAGTTGTTACCAGAGGCATATAATTTATTATTTAGATTAAAAAATGAACACTTTATTCTAAAATAGTCTACGAAAGACTTACAATACTTGCTTTTTCATTAGGTTTCTTTATTTTGCGCTGTTCTTAGGTATGTGTATATTTGTTTTTGAGCGTGTAGGTTGACTTTATATTTCTAACACAAATGCCTTTACTATTGAAATGATGTAGTTTTTAAATCTCTAAAACCAGCATCCTTCTTCTTTTGGGATACAGTTAACACCAGGTAAGTCAAGTGAGGTAATCCATTCAAGGAGGCAGCATGTCTGACTTGAGATGCTTGAGTGGTTGCAAACCTGTATTTCTTAATATTGACTTTAAAAGGCAGATGGTAACATGTTCCTCTACCTATCCCTGTTTAGAACAGAAAGACCCTGCAGAGACGTTGGCATTTTAAAATCCCAGAGATGATAACCTGCTTTAAAAGGCAAAATAAGTGAGCTATAAAGTCACCAGGAATTACCTTTGCAGGGCTATATATTTTGGGGGGTTGAGGGATGGGGTTAGTAGTAATACACATTTATAATCTGTCATACAGGAGGTTTTCAAAGTGCTCTGAGCATTTGCAAGGATGCTTATATGACCTGATAGAGGCATTTCTATGATTCTAGTAGTGCATGGTCCTCCACACTCTGGCAGCAGGCAGTCCTTTCCGAAGATGCTGTGACTAATGAAAAGGGCTTGTTCAGGTAGCTCTTGGAAGGACATAGACAGGGCTGCTGCTGTGTCCATGTCAGAAAAGCAATAAGCACTTCACAAGGATTTGAATTCCTTACCCAATTCATACATCCCCGCTGCTCTATAATCCACTTTATTCAAAGAGAGTCCACACTAGAATGACTCTTAATGATATTTTTAATTTTAAATAATCACCTTAAAAATTGGAAGGCATTTATTCAGGCATATTAGCTGTGTAAAATAATCTAGCAGGCCAGTTTGTTTAATATAAAAGGAGAGAGGGAGAGAAAGAGAGAGATTTGAGGCAAGCAGGCTGCACAAATATTCTCTGTGTTCACTGCTCCATGTGATAACTGCAGGCACAAAATAAAGCGTGTGATCTTCATGACCTTGGACATGGGCATTGAAACCACAGCAAGGGTACATCCTAAAACATTACAGTTCAAGACAGTTGCAACCCAAATGACTAAGAATTCCTCTAGTGCACACAGGCAGGTAATGACTATCCCTTGGCAGTGCAGCAGTTAATAACATTTCTTTCCTTTTCATCTTATAAACCATGCTAGGCTCTGCAGAGCACATGAAAATTTAATATTTTTAACAAATAATCTAAAAGAGAACCATAAAGGGCAAAGTTATAATAGTTACCTGCACCAGGCTTTGCCTCCCCTTCCTCCTCAAAGGGTTTGAGAAAGGAGTACGTGTACCATTTAATTCTGTAGCTTCTGTAACTGCCTCACATCCTTCAAGGAATACAGTGACAGGAGGAAGCCATGGTGATTGAAAAATGTACAGATATATGAAAACTCAAAATGGGACTCCTGAAACTGCTGACAATGCTTAGATTACAGAATATAAACAATCTTTTCTCAACCCACCAAAAATAAAATAGTTTGACCATATAAATGGGTCTGTTCGTTTTTGGCTGAGGGAGAAATAATGGGAAATTAAATCAGGGAGGAAATTCTATGGTCTTATATATGTGAAAGAAGTGTGTTTATTTTCATAAAATATTTTGTAAATCATGATTCCTTCACACAATGAATATTAGCAAGGATGTTAAAGCAATCTTTAGTTATCTAGTAGAGATTAGAATGTTGTATGGTCATTTTGCATATGTCTTTTCTATTTGTTTGTTTTTCTAAACTATTTTCCTTTTACTAATGATCAAAACTGAGATTAGAGTCATTAACCAACCCAGTGTGTACATTCAGTAATGGAATGTCTTAATTACAAAAATATGGTACACAAGACTGACCTGTTTGATCTTCAGTTTTCTTTGTACCCATAGTTGTATTTCAAATGTATTTCCTTCATTGGAAAATCTGTGCAAATCAGTAATTATTCTTAAAATATCAATGGATAAATTTTAATTAGTATCCCCATAGCATTTAAGTGATCTAATAGATAAATCTGTTCAAAAGAATAATAGCAACAATGTATCACATTATGCATGCTTATATGTGTGTATATATACATATATGTATACATATATACACATGCATATATACATAAACATATATACATGTATATGCATATTTATACTTGTGTATGCTTATATATAAGTAAAATATTGTAAATAACAGCAATGGCACAAGGGATTAAAGGGAGAAATTAGAATTATTTTGATAATGTAGGAAACACACTGCATATGAAGTAGTATAGGGCTCTTTAAAAATGGACTTGGATTACTTATAAATGTTAATTGCAAACTTTCAGGAAACCACTAAAATTTTTTCTTTTAATTGAATATATTGTGGTGACATTGATTAATAAAATTATACACATTGCATGTGTACAATTTTATAATATATCACCTGTATATTGCATTGTGTGTTCACCATCCAAATTCAAGTCTCTTTCCATCACCATTTATCCCCTTTATCCCCTCATCTACCTCCCCCCGCCCCCTTTCCCTCTGTAATCACCATAATGTGGCCTGTGTCTATAAATTTTGTTTTGTTTAATTATTGTTTTTGCTTAATCCCTTCACCTTTTCACGCAGCCCCCAACCATGCCCTCCCCCCACAGCTGTCATTCTGTTCTCTTCATCTGTGAGTCTGTTTCTATTTTGTTTGTTTCTTTTGTTCATTAGATTCCACATGTAAGTGAAATCATATGGTACTTGTCTTTCTCTGACTGGCTTATTTCGCTTAGCATAATACTCTCCAGGTCTATCAAATGCTGTTGCAAAAGGTAAGATTTCCTCTTTTTCCACTGCCGAGTAGCATTGCAATGTGTACAGTTGTTTTTTGTGGGGTTTTTTAATCTGCTAATCTACTTATGGGCACTTGGTCAAAGCTAGTATTTCTGATGTGGACTTTGAGAGTCTCTTTTGGAAGTAAAAATATTGAGTACTAAACATTTCTTTCTTTTGCCTTCCTACTAAAGCAGTGGTAATTCTCCTTGAGGAAGTGAAGGTGTCACTGACTCACTAGGGAAAGTTTGCAAAATATAAGTATGAAAAAATAAAAGTACAGAGATTAATATTCTGAGAAAGTATGCTGCTGGAAATAAAAATAAAGCAGATACAAACATGGTCTAAGCCCGTGTTCGGCAAACAGCAGCTCGCGAGCCACATGCGGCTCTTTGGCCCCTTGAGTGCTGGTCTTCCAGAAAATACCACGTGCGGGCGTGCACGTAGTGCAATTGAAACTTCGTGGCCCATGCACAGAAGTCGGTATTTTGTGGAAGAGCCACGCTCAAGGGGCCAAAGAGCCGCATGTGGCCTGCGAGCTGCGGTTTGCCAAGCCGCAGTTTGCCGACCACTGGAAGCAATTGCTAGCCGCATTTGTATCTAAAGCTCAGTTTACAGGGATCATTATAGAACAGGAAATTATATTCTATGCCCCAAATTTAAACACTCTATTTTTATAGCTTTATTGTTACAGAGCTATGTAAAAATATAAGGATATGTTTGAATTAAGAACTGCATAGCTTTAAATTTAGAGTAATTTAATTGTTAAAATTGAAAACTTACAATTTTTTAAAAAAATCTTGGAATATTTGGTCCACATTAAATGATCTTGTGTGAAGTAGGTCCTTAGATGTTGCAATAGCTGCAGAACTTACTTGGGAATTATGTCCGATTCAGCGTGGTCCCCCAGCCCATAGTGTGCTCTCAGTCAGTGATAACCTTATCAAAATCACCCCCTTCGCTGTAAACCACCATCCTAACATGACCCCTGGAACTCATTTTAAAACTAAATTGGAATTGGCAGTTGCCAAATTAGCTTTGGAGGGCAAAATGTCCATTTCTATGTCTGTGGATTCACTCAGGGACAATTGATGCTTTGATGAACTATGGGAAATACAAAAATACAATCCAAGGAATATTAAATAGTGTAATAAATCCATTCCATTTTTTTTTCTGCTTCTAGCATCTAGGCTTGTTTAGGCAGAAAGAACAAATAAGTGACTATTTCTCATGCCTTTATATGATGACAGAGCAACTCTTAATTCCGTACTGTAAAATTTACGTTGAAAATACAGTTGCACTTCGGATTAGTAGTTCAGTATGCCATAGGTAACCAGGGAGCAATGTTCAGTAAATACTGGTATTAGATGTGAAGCAGCACAAAGAAAGGGAAACTATGTAAATGCCTTTCCTGATTGAGAATTATATGGAGCAGTTTTGAAATATTTAAAGTGATTTACATACCAACATTGCACTTAAGGTGTTACTTTGCCTCCTCCTCTTTAAAGATTTATTTTTGATGTTTTATAAAGCAAAATGTGTGTTCAGCCTGATGCAACCAGCAAAGCAGCTTACAAGGTTAAAAGGAAAAAGATGACTCATTAATAAACAGCTATTTAGAGAATTATAATTAGTTTTTTTTTTCCCCCTTCATTAGCGCATGTA